GCTTGTAGGGTTTAGGGTTTTGGGTAGAGGGCGTTGTCAAGTTCACTGTGAAGGAGGATGATTAGAATAGGGCTTTCGGGATCATTGCATCTAAGTCAGGGCTCGTTTCCCTGGTCATGTGCTAGGCATGCCATAAAGGAGGTACCTTAACTGTTGAAAGTTTGCAAATCATAGGGTGCTATGGCACAGTACGAGTTAGGATTCAGGGGACCCTTGGGGATATAGACCCTCTCAATAAGGTCCCGTTGAAGAGAGCCAGACGTAGGGTTCAGAAGGGTCCCCTTTAAGGGGTCTCCCTAATACTACCTAGCAGGATTTCAGAAAGGGAGCCTGAAAGAGAGCTGGCGTCAAGAGCAGGGGCACAATCCTAAAACCCCAAACCGTAAGACCCTGTAGAGTAAACCCTAAACCCTAAACCCTAAACCCTAAACCCTAAACCCTAAACCCCAATGCCAAACCCAAAGCCCCAAACCCTAAATTTTGAACCCTAAACCCTAAACCCTGAACCCTGGAATGAAGGCCTCCAAGCAGCATGCGCTTGGGGTGGGGCGTAGAGAACCTCCGACGAGTCTTCTGGAGCCTCAGGGTAACATTTCTACGAGTTGGGGGTTTAGGGTTTGGGATTTATAAGGGTTTAGGGTCTCAGGGTCACATGTCTACCCGGTTTGGGGCTTTTTGTGTTTAGCGGTTTCGGGGTTTAGGGCAAGGAAAGCCCACAGCCCCTAGTGTGGGGGCCTAAATAAGTACTAAGACTATTTTGGAGGTTCCTTACTATAAGTATAGTATACTGGGCCCCAAAACCCTATTCTGATTCTGAAGGCCCCTACATTAGCCCAGGAGCGCACACCGAGCCTTTGGGAGCAACCTACAGACACATGAATGTGGGTAGTTCTCTAAATGAGGGTCCCTTTTTAGGTCCCCAATATAGTACGGCACCCATATAAAAAGGACCCCGAAAGGGACCCTAACTTAGAAAACTACCCACATGGTTGAACATGCCTTATGACCAGGCTGGGTGAGGTTTTGCTACGCATCTTAAGACCCTCTTAGCACCCTAAAAACCTAAAACCCTAAATCCTCATAACACCGTCATACAAAGGCCCTAAACCCTAAACCCTAAACCCTACCCCTGCCTCGGTTGGAAGGCTTTGGGGCTCCTTTTTTTTTGGCCAGGCCCCCACGGAGGCGTCCCCAGCCCTGTTATGGCCTTAACCTTCTTACAACAAAAAACCAAAAAGCAAGTAATGTAGGGGCCTTATTAACTAGAATATCTTTTATACTATAATTCTGGTAAGTAGCACCAAAACGACAGTGGTACTTACGTCGGCACCTCTTTGTTTAGGGTTTCCTGTTTATACTTTTTTGGGGGTTCCTGATCATTATAAGTATAGTATAATGGGCCCCAAAACCCTGTTCTAATTGTTCTGGCCCCTATATGAACGTTAAACCCCAAACCCAAAACCCTACACCGTGCCATATTAGGGTTTTCTGTTTAGGGTTTTGGGTTTATTCTAAAAATACACCCTAAACCCTAAACCGTGCCATATTAGGGTTTCCTGTTTATACTATTTTGGGGGTTCCTTACCATTATAAGTATAGTATAATGGGCCCCAAAACCCTGTTCTAAAAATTAAGGCCGCTATACGAACCCTAAACCCTAAACCCTAAATCCTTAACCCTAAACCCAAAACCCAAAACCCTACACCGTGCCATATTAGGGTTTCCTGTTTAGGGTTTTGGGTTTATTCTAAAAATAAAGACCCCTATTTGGGGGTTCCTTATTATTACAAGTATAGTATAATGGGCCCCAGAACCCTAAACCCTATAACCCCTAAACCCTATAACCCCTAAACCCCTAAACCCTAAGCCCCAAACCCTAAACCCCTAAACCCCAAACCCTAAACCCCTAAACCCATATCAGGGTTTCCTGTTTAGGGTTGGGGGTGCTGGCACAGCTTCCCTGAGCTCCGGGCATGCAGCGCCATGATCGACCTCCCGTACAGGCGGTTTAGGGTTGAGGGTTTAGGGTTTAGGGTTTATGGGGGTTGAGGGTTTAGGGTTTAGGGCTTATATGTGTTTAATTTGGGAGACGTGGGCTGGATCTCGGAGCCGAGTCAGTCAGCAGACATGTGTGCATCCTTGCAAGATGTAATGAGTCCTGACGTTTGCGGGTGCTGCTCTTGCGCGGTTAATCCCTTTGTCGTTGCCTCCCTGTCCCTATATGTATATACATATGTATATATATATATATATATGTATGTATATATAGACATACACAACCTGTAAATTGTACATTTCGCATTCCCATGTCCGCTGCTCCGCGACTACAGGGCAAGACGTGATTAAGTACATGTGTCTTACCAAAAGTATCCATTCCAGGTCCTTTCTTTTGGGTTTATCCAGTTTTATATTCAAGATCTCACCAGGTAACCCCGAACAGAAAGTGCAATGAATGCGATGGGTGGCTTCGTTCATTGATCGGTTGTTCGTAATCGAAAGAGTACTCCGCCGAAGGTGTATGTTCATCCGAAACAAGCTGCTACATTCGCCACCCCTTCCAAAAACACAAAGATGAAAAACCGGTGCCCCTAAATTCGGCGGAGCCACAAATGGAAGCGCTGCTGAGAGGAGGCTCAGCAACTCTTGGCGGAGGCTCAAGGGACTCATTACGCACGCTTACAAGTTATAAGTGCTGCATGATCCTAAAACCCTATGCCCACATCCTAATCCCAAAAACCTAAACCCTGCGTAGTCCTGAACCCTAACTGAGGGTTGATCTAAACCCCTCTACAGTTATTCATTCACAATCGAGATTGCCTTCAAAACATGGTGTGCGTGCAAGAACGCGCAAGGGCAGGTGCAAGAGCGCGCAAGAGCAGTACCACGGCTATATATCAAAACGTAGCAGAGCTTTCCCCATGGTGTTTTTTTTCGATCTTGGAACCTTCCTTTCCTAAGCCTCCAGCCCGAAACCAAAGAGCGGTTTGCTATGCCCGATGGGTCATGTTTTGGTTATCAAGATACTGAAGCTCATGATCATACAAGCTGCAGGCAGCGTGCAAGAAACGCACATGAGTGTGCCAGGGCGGCACAAGGGGTATTAAATGGTCACTCATCGGAGGAATAATATCGATCAACCCCCAGCATCCTAATCCCTAAACCTCAAACCCAAAGTCCTGCACCTTAAACCCTAGACCCTAAACTCTAAACTCGAAAATTTCAAAAAACCCTAAACCCTAAACGCCAAACCCTAAACCCCAAACCCCAAACCCTAAACCCTAAACCCCTACGCCCTTCAACCTTAGACCCTAAATTCTTTTCCCTGGCGGAGGCCGTTCCTGCCAACCGTCGCCTTGCCAGGGCGCTCTTCCGCTTGGCTGCTCGGACAGTGGCATTCCGGGTTAGGGTTTAGGGTTTAGGGCTTAGGATTGGGGTTTAGGGCTTAGGATTGGGGTTTAGGGTTTAGGGTTGGGGTGCAGGGCTTTGGGTTTTGGGTTTAGGATTGGGGTTTAGGGCTTAGGATTGGGGTTTAGGGCTTAGGATTTAGGGTTTAGGATTTGGGTTTAGGGCCTTTCGGGTTTTAGGGTTTGGGGGATTCGAGGTTTGAGAGTCACGGGTTCAGGAGCTTAGTGGTTCAAGCTTTGGTCGTTTAGGGGCTCAGAGGTTTCAGTTTTGCTTTTTCGGAAGGTCTCAGGTGCTGACAGCTTAAGGGTATGGGGTCCAGAGTTGAGGGTTTAGGGTTTGGGGTTTAGGATCTAGGGTTTGGGGTTTAGGAGAGAAGAGTTTCGGGGTTTGGGGGCTCGGGAATGGATGGTTTACCCGGCAGTCCACTCGGAGAGGTTGTATGTTGCAGGCGTGCTTGATCTTGTTCACGAATGGCTTCGGAGAGGTTTGAACAGGCCTAGCTAGCCTTAAACCCTAAACCCTAAACCGGCTAGAGCTTCAACCCCGGCAAGTCACACAGGCTTCCTCCGGTTGCTTGCACATAAGAGCATCCGAAAATGGCCTGTGGGTAAGAACCCAATGTAGTAGGAATTCAGGTTGTAAGGACACCAAAACTCGGACCTTTATTAATGGCAAGAACCCCCTCCTGTCATGTGACCCTAAAACCTAAACCCTAAACCCAAACACAAGACCCTATCCTCTGGTTTAAGGAGACATACTACATCTTCCTTCTGGGACATATCTCGGCGGCAAGGCGGCAGCGAATGCGACTCGGCTTCTTCTCAATTTTGTGGGTGCTTTGCTGGGGCTTCTGATACTTGAGAGATCCCTATGCCCTAAAACCGCTATAGACTTGAGGGATTATATAGGGGTTAGGAGAGATCCCTAAACCCTAAAGCACCTAAAAAACTTGAGGGTTTTGGGTTTAGGGGAGATCCCCAAACACTCAACCCTGGAGTCTCACTTACTATAACTATAGTAAGGAACGCCCCAAAGTAGTATTATTTAGTCCCTACATTACTCGCATTGAGGATGGAATCCTAAATACCCCGTCCTAAACCCTAACACCCTAAACCCTAAACCCCTAAACCCTCACCCCTAAACCCTTAAAACCCTAAAGCCCTAAAAACCCTAAACCTTACAAACCCTATAAACCCCATAAACCCAAGATATATATATATATATAGTTAAGAAATATCGACCCCTAAGCACCTAGTAGCGGTGTAGTAAAGCATAGCTTCTAGGCCTCACATTGTAGGTTGCAACAGCACATGTTTCACACTGACAGGTACCATGATCTTTGGCTCAAGACATGACTAGAAAAA